CGGCAGGTGTGGAAACGGATAACGTGCGACTACCCCATGAGCAGCGTGGCTCGCGTACAGTCTGTAAAGCTCCTGCCTTCAACAAACACACGAGCAAGCTTCACTGCAGAGCAAAATCACTGAGAACTTCCCTTCTCCAGAGAGCCACCAAGCTCCGTATCTCCATACCCATGCTCTCTCCTGAGGGATGCTTGATGGAGATGGATGCTCCTGCCTGGGCTGCAAGATGCACAATCAAGAAAATATTTTTTTAAGTGGCAGTTCTCATACATCATTAAAGACAGCATCTCTTCCACAGCAGAGGGGAATTGCCTTGAGCTTGCTCCCAAACACCTACAATTCTCCCTTGAGAAGCAGCAACGCCAGCCCTCCGCACTGGAGGTACCTGGACTAGTTACTGGGTAGCAGCCCCCTTGGGAGACTTTCCAGTCAGTGCTGGCACAGGTTCTCCTGCAAGCCAGAGCTCCGTGGCAGGACGGACAGTGCGGAGAGAAACCCTGCCAGGAGCTCAGAGGTGGCACGGCAGGTTTGGAGATCGTGAAGTCAGGAGGTCATGCAATGGCAGCAGTGATTAAGAGAAAACGTGGCCCTACAGGCAGCCTCCAACTCGCTCGATCCCCTGCCCACACCCAGGGCACCTCTTTGGACCTCACCCCGTCACTCTGCACCACCGAGGTTTGCTCCCTGATGCCTTCTGCAAAGATGTGCTGAAACAGACTCCCTTCAAAAAATGCTTCTGTGTTGTCCTACACCCCAGCAAGGCAGAGTCAGAGCTCCAGCAAAACAAGATTCGGGACCCCCAGCCCTCCTCCCGCAGCTCTCACCAGCCCCGCTTGCAGCTGTGGCAGCTGGGGGGGACAGGGTCTTCACCGGCACGGAGGGAAAGCACCCATGGGTGTCACAGAGCAGCGGTTTGCGTTGGCAGGGTGAGCAGAGGAAGATGTGACAGCACAGATGGAGAGTCCTGAACCCACAGGTACTGCAGCTTCACGACAGAAAGCCAGAAAGCATGGAGATAGCGCGAGCAGAAGGTGCTTCTCGGAAGGATACGGAACAGAGCCCTAAGACAGCAACCTTGTGCCTGCACTCTTGATTTCAGCCTCTAATTTAAGGCAGCTTCAAAGAAATTCTGGTTTCTGTGGGCAGGACTTGGTGCTATCCCACAGACAGGGCCCTTTCAGGGCTCTTAATTTAAGCAATTAATTTCTAGCTATTCATTGTTATTAGCTGGTGAGATTTAGTAGCAGAAAGGATTGGCGAAAACTTCAACTATTCTGATAAGCGTGAGGGACCCTCTCTCTTTTATCACATACCTGACTGGAAACATCCTTAGGCACTTGTAGAGCAAACACAGAATCATAGAAATCATAGAATCATAGAAAGTTTTGGGTTGGAAGGGACCCCTAGAAGTCATCTAGTCCAACCCCCCCGCAGCGAGCAGGGACACCGCTAACGAGATCAGGTTGCTCAGAGCCCTGTCCAACCTGCTCTTGAATGTTTCCAGGGATGGGGCCTCCACTACCTCTCTGGGCAACCCGTTCCAGTGTTTCACCACCCTCATTGTAAAGAA